TATGTATGTATGTATGTATATATGTTTGTTTTCCTTTTACTGCTGGGAAAAGATAAAAAAAAATTTTAATCGCGACTAATCTCAAAATAGTTTTGAGATTAATCCCGATTAATCTCATTATTATGCACAAAATTAAATTAGGACTCAAGAATGTTTAGAGCATTTTAAAGGTAGTGCTTTATATGAAAAGGTTTGATTCATTCCCCAAACCTTTAAACAAATAAGGCAAGCCTGTCTATTTACTTCCCACATGTTGCACCCGACCTTGTCTGAAGCCTCCGTGTTTGATACGGTGGTCATTTGGCCTCAAGAATGTGCTTTGAATTTATGCGATATTTCAGGCTTTAACTACTCTGGTAGTGGTAGAGCATTGCAGTGCTGACTGTTATCCAGACGTCAGGAAAAGTTTTTAAAAAATGCCCATGCAAAAGTCTGGTTCCTTTCCGGCCTCCCTGTGAGGTCATGTGAGCAGCAGCCCTACAAGACATTGGCTGTGATATGTGATAAGGGCCATTTAAAACCAACAGTGATCAAGACCCCCCCCCCCCACCATGACCACTGGGTTTATGTGTGTTTAAAAATAAAGAATTGTTGCCGACAAACATTGACTGCATTAATGTGATGGTAATGCATTAACATGCCAATCAAGTTGAAGATGACCACTAATTAAAAAACACAAACACCACGCAATTAACTGAGGTCAGTTCTCTCCTGTCTTAAATGTGCGTGTTCATCTTGAATCAGGTTGCCTCAAAATGTTAATCAGTTGTAGATGTACCTCTAAAAGTCTAGCATCTATTCTGTGGTTCAGGGGACATTTTTCTAACAGATTACGTATTTAAAAAATAGTCTCATCAGGGTGAGTGAGGGGGCAGCAAATTTATACAGTGGGGCGTTGCCTCCCCTGGCCCTCCCATTTAGCAGTGCCCCTGAGCTTGACCCTAAAACAGCTGAAATCCACTTTTAGGAAGAATCTTTGTGCACCTAAACATCCCAATAAAAGTGACAACAATGTCATTCTTAAAAAAACATTATTTTTGTTCAATCAGTTTGTATTTTAACTTTGATTAGATGGACCCTTGACTGCTAAAGCAAATCCAACAAACACAGCAGCACAAATAAGAGAAAATCTCCTGTTTGTTTGAATGAAAAACTTCTGGTGTCCAGATGAAGGTTTTTATTTTTTGTAATTTTTTTGGGAAGCATTTGCATATTTTGAGAATCCACCCCTCCACCTCACCATCCCCCTAAAAAAAGGAGAAAAGGAAAAGAAAATAGCCCGGGGACAGAAATGACTGATCTGCATATTGAGGATGAGGGGAGAGGAAACGGGAAGAGACAGAGAGCAGAGTCTCTGTGTAAATGATTTTCAGGTTGATCTTAAAGAAACAATAACGTCAATTAGCTAAYGGTGTCGTGCTCATTACGCTGGATTAATCGCAGAACTTGCTGCAACTTTGAACTGACTGTATTCTTAGCTGGAGAGTAGCTGCTCAGAGAAGGAATAGGGGAGGAAGAGGGGGAGAATGGCGAGAAAAAATGTGCATCATAAGAAGGCCTCTTTACCCAGCTTCCTTCATGAATAACAAATAGAGAAGCTGGTGCTGCGACCAGGCAGCACAACACATGAAAAACATTACAGCCTGCTCTGAGTCGTCTGGTTYGCTCCACATTATGCAGCTCCACTCGAAACATGGGAAACACTGTGGCGCTTTTGTGCAGATTCTGTGAAACTGAGCTTAAAATCTGATCATTTAAACAGTGTCAGAACTCAGACATTGTTCCAATTCTCTTTGTCACAATTTCATTATAAACAGTTTATTTTGCTAATATCATTTATTTAGTTCTTTACTGTATTTCAAACCTTCAGACACACAAAGGCAGAACAGTTGGTTGAAATAAAACAGATTTTTTAAAAAAAAATGTGAACTTGTTTTGCAGTGATGAGCATAGCCTTAAGAATACAGTCTGAACTGGTCATGCAAAAATAATTTTACTTATTTCCCAAGTAAAAAAAAAGATTCAATTTCCTTAAGAAGAAGAACTTGAAAGTTTTACTAAATTACAATTAACACAAAGTTTTTGCTTTTTGAAATTTTAAAATT